TTGGTTTAGTCCTGGCTTAGTCCTTCATTGATCCTGGTTTAGTCCTGGCTTAGGTTTAGTTCTAGTTTATGTTTAGTCCTGATTTAGTCCTGGTTTAGTTCTGGTTTAGTCCTGATTTAGTCCTGGTTTAGTCGTTGTTCAGTCCTGGTTTAGTCCTGTTTCAGTCCTGGTTTAGTTCTGGTTTAATCCTGGTTTGGTCCTGGTTTATTCCTAGTTTAGTCCTGGTTTGGTCCAGGTTTAGTCCTGGGTTAGTCCTGGTTTAGTCCTGGTTTGGTCCTGGTTTAGTCCTGGTTTAGTTTTGGTTTAGTCCTGGTTTATTCCTGGTTTAGTCCTGGTTTGGTCCTGGTTCAGTCCTGTTTCAGTCCTGGTTTAGTCCTGGTTCAGTCCTGTTTTAGTCCTGGTTTAGTCCTGGTTCAGTCCTGGTTTAGTCGTGTTTCAGTCCTGGTTCAGTCCTGGTTTAGTCCTGGTTTAGTTTTGGTTTAGTCCTGGTTTATTCCTGGTTTAGTCCTGTTTCAGTCCTGGTTTAGTCCTGGTTCAGTCCTGGTTTAGTCGTGGTTCAGTCCTGTTTTAGTCCTGGGTTAGTCTTGATTTAGTCCTGCTTTAGTCCTGGTGTTTGAGTCGGTGTTAGTTGGAGGTGTTTTGTATTCTCTGGGTCTTCTCTCTTTTTTTTTTCACGGTGACAGGAGAAACCTTTCCCCAGAAGTACTGCTGTTTACATCTAAAACAAACGTGTGAGGCCCAGCTATTCTCTCTCTCCCCTCTCTCTCTTTCTTTCCTTCCTGTCACTCATATTCTTTCTCTCTCTATTACTCTTTTCTATCTCTCTTTCCAAATGACCTAAACAACCGTGTCTCTCTTCACACTCTCCTCCTCTCTCCTCCCATGTCTCTCTCACTCTCCCTCTTCTGAACAATTCCAAATCATTCTCTCACACTCTCTCTCTTATCATTCTCTCTCTACCCCCTCTCTCTCCATCTCTCTTTTTCTGTCATTGTTTCTTTCTTTTCCTCTCTCACTCTCTTTCGCTCTCTGTCTCTCCTTTACTTTTTCTCTTCCTCTCCATCTCTTTCACCCATCTCTTGTACTCGCCTTCTTCTTTCTCTCTCTCACTTTCACCCTTTCCCTCTGTTTCTCTTTTTTCTCTCCCCATCTCTCTTTCACTCTCTCCCTCTCTCTCTCTGTTCCACTCTTTCTCTCTCCCCTCAACTCTCTCACTCTCTCCCCCAACTCTCTTTCACTCTCTGCCCCCCCCTCTCTCTCATTCATTCTTATTCTCTCCATCTCTCTTTCACTCTCTCTCTCTCTCTGTTTCATCTCTTTTTGTTTCTCTCTTTCTCTCCATTTCTCTCTCTCTCTGTTTCTCTCTCTCCCTCTCTCCTCTCTCTCTCTGTTCTCCCCCCTTTCTCTCTCTGTTTCTCTCTCTCTCTCTGTTTCCTCCCCCCCTGTTTCTCTCTCGATTTCTCTCTCTCCCTCCCTCTCTCTGTTTCTCTCTCTCTCTCTCTCTCTCTCTCTCTCCCCTCCCCTCTCTGTTTCTCTCTGTTTCTCCCCCCTCTCTGTTTCTCTCTCTGTTTCTCCCCCCCTCCTCTCTGTTTCTCTGTTTCTCTCTCTGTTTCTCTCTCCTCTCTCTCTCTCTCTCTCTGTTTCTCTCTCCCCATCCCACTCTCTTGTTTCTCTCTCTCTGTTTCTCTCTCCCCCCTCCCTCTCTCTGTTTCTCTCTCTGTTTCTCTCTCCCCCCTCCTCTCTGTTTCTCTCTCTCTGTTTCTCTCTCTCTCTGTTTCTCTCTCTCTCTCTCTCTCTCTCTGTTTCTCTCTCTCCCTCCCTCTCTCTCTCTGTTTCTCTCTCTCTGTTTCTCTCTCTCTCTCTCCTCTCTCTCTCTCTCTGTTTCTCTCTCTCTCCCTCTCTCTGTTTCTCTCTCTCTCTCTCTGTTTCTCTCTCTCCTCTCTCTCCCTCCCTCTCTGTTTCTCTCACTCTGTTTCTCTCTCTCTGTTTCTCTCTCTCCCCCCTCCCTCTCTCTCTGTTTCTCTCTCACTCTCTCTCTCTCTGTTTCTCTCTCCCCCTCCCTCTCTGTTTCTCTCTCTCTGTTTCTCTCTCTCTGTTTCTCTCTCTCTCCTCTCTCCTCTCTCTCTGTTTCTCTCTCTCTGTTTCTCTCTCCTCTCTCTCTCTGTCTCTCTCTCTCTGTTTCTCTCACTCTGTTTCTCTCTCTCTGTTTCTCTCTCTCTCTCGTTTCTCTCTCTGTTTCTCTCTCTCTCTCTCCCCGTTTCTCTCTCTCTCTCTCTCTCTGTTTCTCTTCACACTCATAATAAACATAATAAAGTGTGTGTAAATTGTTTCAGATTTGCTGTGTGCCAGTTGTGTTAAAGTCGGTGTTTGTGTATTTGTTCTTTGCGTCTGTTTGTGTGTTTGTTTGTGTGTGTGTGTATGGAGCTTCTGGAGAACACACACGTGGAGAGAACAACACACACAGAGGCGAAGCTGTTGTCTGGAGGAAGTTCTGACATAAACTGTATGAAGACGTGGAGGATGTAGAGATGCTGACGCTGGCTTCAGAAACATCACAACATTCTGGAGGTCAGAGATGTTTCACACAGACGGGAGCAGGTCAGATGAATTCAGCTGAAATGCAGGTTTTTGTTCTACAACAGTGAGATCTTGAGCCGAGTCACTAACAGTAACCATCAGCTTCAACATTTGTGAATATTTTTAGATATTTGATGGCAAAGTCCAACATGACCAACAGGGAAATGTACGGAAGCCGAGAGGGGTCACGACAAACGCAAACGACGCAACAAATACAAATGCGACAACACAACAAAAAGCCACAACAAACCAAAAAAAGCTACAACGGAAGTGACCATGGGACTCTATTTTAATGCAAATGCCATGACAAATACAAACGCCACAACACAAACGCAAAAGCCGCAACACATTAAAAAGCCACAACACATTAAAAAAACACAACACATCAAAAAAAGCCACAACACACCAAAAAAATACACAACGGAAATGACGGCGGGACTCTATTTTAATACAAACGCCACAACACAAAAAGTTACAACACATCAAAAAGCCACAACACATTAAAAAGCCACAACACATCAAAAAGCCACAACAAACAAAAAAAGCCACAACGGAAATGACCGCGGGACTCTATTTTAATGCAAACACTGCAACAAATACAAATGCCACAACACAAACGCAAATGCCACAACACATTAAAACACCACAACACCTTTTGACTTTGCACCCCTCCTTATTTTTGACGCATGATACAAAGACAGATACAGGAACTGACAAATAAGGTCAAAAGTCAATTTTGAGCTCAATATTTTTCATGATATTTATTCACATGATAAAGGAGCTCTCACATACAAACAAAATAACATGAAGTCTTTTTTGACCAAACATGGTGTTAGGCTGTTCTGCCTTTGAAGGGCAGCGTGAGAATACACAGTTTTAAAATACTTTGGAACATTCTCCATGTTTCATGAATTTACTGTTTATTTGAATAAGGACAGTGAGACTGTGGCAGGTTACAGTCAAACGAATTACATTTCTATGGAAATAAGCAGGAAGAGGCCCTGGTCCAGGCCAAATAAGGGGCTGTGGAGATGTGAGTCTGTCACAGAGTGGATGCATGTTTAGATTTGTTTTGATTAGATTTTTTGGTCCCTTATCAAAAACAGGCCTGTAAATGTCATTCATGAATGTTTGAGCCCTGTTCAAACTCATTTACAGTTAAGTGTAAGATTCTGTGGAAGGCTCCGGCCACAAGCCGACGTCACCCACAGACCCACACGACATGTCTCCAGGAATGTATAAAACATTATACCAAACTGTGCACAGCAACTTTGATGCTGTTTGATAAGAGGGATGCACACGTGTGTTGTGATAGTGCTCTGAAGGGGGAGTGACTTAACAGGAGCAAAAGGGAGGGGGGACTCAGAGTGTCAAATATAAAAGCAAAACTGTTACTCTTCAGTATTTCACCTGCCCTGGAGCTTCACACTTCTGTTTTATCAGATGGTGGAAAAAAACTGAGTAAATCGGTCCCTCCAACCACCACCATCACACACACACACACACACCACTTTCATACTAGGTAATGTGGGTGAAGTGTTTTGCCTAAGGACACAATGGCAGTTATTCCCACTGGTGCCTCCTGTAGCTCCTGATTTTCCCAGTGTCTCCATTCAAGTACTGACCAGACTCAGACCTACTGAGCTTCTGAGATCTGACGGGATCAGGCTTTGACAAACCGGTATGGACACACTTACAGTTGGTAAGAGTGTTTGTCTACTGATCCGAAGGTTAGTGGTTCAAATCCCGCTCTTGACAATAAAAAACAAACAAACAACAACAGCAAAAAAATAAATAAATTATTGGTTGAGCAGTCAGATACATTGTTGTTGTTGTGTAATTGGCCAAGACACTTAACTCACCTCACCCCCAGTGTCAGTGTACAGTGTCTAAAAATTTGAGCATTTATTCTACGTCAGTAAATACTAGACATATAATATTTACTTCATTATTCCATCACAGCAATGCAATTCAATATGACAATATTTTATATATTTTACTTCTAACTAGGACTAAACCAGGTCTAAACCAGGACTAAACCAGGTCTAATCCAGGACTAAACCAAGACTAAACCAGAACTAAACCAAGACTAACCAAGGACTAAACCAAGACTAACCAAGGACTAACCAAGGACTAACCCAGGATTAAACCAGGACTAAACAGGACTAAACCAGGACTAAACCAGAACTACCCAAAGACTAACAAGTTCTCTTTTTCAGTGTATTGAAACTAGATTCTCACATAAATCGGTATTAATAGTGACTCATATAACTGGATACAATTTGACCTTTTTCTCCAAACATGTTGAGTTTCATCAGAACTTTAGTGTTGACAAAATCAATCATGTCACCGATGTTATTTCTGACTTTAAATCGTGATATAAAAGGAAGTCGGCGCATCACGTAACGGGGCATTTCCTTTAGACGTTATTTACCGAAACAGTCTCTCTCTCGCTTCCATTTGGGCACGGAGAGCGCGTGTGTGAGTCATCCAACCCCCGTGTCTCTCCCTCTCTCTCCGGGACCTGGATTCGCCTCTCTCCCTTCCCTCTCCTCTGCTCTCCTGCGCACGGGACACGGACATACCCAGCAACATGCGCACAACGCTTTACGCACGGGACATACCCCCACTCCACAGCGCTCCGTGAAACATGCGAAGTCTGGGCTGGATTTTTACCTGTTTAAACTCACAACAAGGACTATTACGAACACATCCGCGCGTTTTCAGTTCCGAGTCACCTCCAGAACAGACGCCGCCGTCGCTACGCCAGTCAGCCGGGTCCGTCACCATGTCGCCCGAACGCCTTCCCTCATCCAAGTCGCTGTACATCGTGATGGAAGTGGTCATCGCCGTGTCTTCCGTGGTCGGTAATGTCATGGTGGTGTGGGCCGTGCGTATAAACCGCTCGCTGAGGGACACCACGTTTTGCTTCATCGTGTCGCTCGCTCTGGCTGACATCGCCGTGGGAGCGCTGGTGATCCCCCTCGCCATCACCATCGACGTGGGGCTCCAGACGCACTTCTACAGCTGTCTGCTCTTCGCGTGCACCGTGCTCGTGCTCACGCAGAGCTCCATCCTCGCGCTGCTCGCCATCGCCATAGACCGTTACCTGCGCGTCAAGATCCCCATGAGGTAGGCCACAAAGGTGAATCCTGTTCACACTTTTACACTACTTTGTTTACTCCGCGGCACGTTTGGTTTTACGCGCGGCTCCAGGTGTGGTGCGTGGGTCCGCGACGCAACCAGGGGCTTTAAAGGTGTTCTGCGTAACTTTTCTGGTGGAAGGTTCCGCATTGACTAGAAGTATCTATATTTACCTTTCTAGTATCTCCATGGAAAACATCGGGCACAGTCTTAAATTCAAATTCAAAAAAATTATTATCAAACCATGCGGAGAATGGAAATGGTGTTTCTCACTCCCAAACGTATAAATAAATAATAATACAGGGATATTTCCAAGTGTTTTTTGGGGAGACGCAGATTCCTGGCAGCCTGGTGGTTAAAGGTGCACTTTTCTGGTGGAAGGTTCCGCATTGAAATGTTTTGACTAGAATGATCTGTATTTACCTATCTAGTACCTCCATGGAACACACAGTAAATTCAAATTCTATTCAAATTCAAAATATAAAACAGTTCATAGTCAAACCATATGAAGAATAGAAATTGTGGTTCTCATTCCCAAACGTATAAATAAATAACAATGGAAATGGAAATAGATTAATGGGAATTTCCAAGTGTTTTTTGGGGAGACGCAGATTCCTGGCAGCCTGGTGGTTAAAGGTGCACTGTGTAACTTTTCTGGTGGAAGGTTCCTCATGGAGATGTTATTGTTTTGAGTAGAATGTTCCAGAGTATTGGATTAGATTGATCTGTCTCCATTATCTGTCCATGTTAGGGTAACCAGACGTCCCTATTTACCCAGGGCAGTCCCATTTTATCCAAAACCAGTGATTTGTCCCAGTTTTATACAAGAAATGTCCCAGGTGTCCCTGTTTTTGACTAATTTGATCCCTGACAACAGTAAAGAGACATAAACTGTCATTTATTTAAGTAAACTGCAGAAAAAAGATACTTAAAAATGACCAAAACACCAAGAAAATGTGACTGTACAGACACATGTTCGTCATAAATGAGTCGAGTGCAAAACAATTCTCCTTAATTACGTACAAATTTCACAGTTTTATTATCACCAATCACCACAAACTGAGAGTGTCCCAGTTTTTGATTCTGAAAATCTGATCATCCTAGTGTATATCCATTGGAAAACATCGGGTAAAGGGTCTTGAAAGGTGCACTGTGGAACTTTTCTGGTGGAAGGTTCCTCATGGAGATGTCATTGTTTTGAGTAGAATGTTCCACAGTATTGCATTAGATTGATCTGTCTCCATTATCTGTCTATGTTAGGGTGACCAGACGTCCCTATTTACCCAGGACAGTCCCATTTTATTCCAAACCAGTGATTTGTTCCAGTTTTATACCAGAAATGTCCCATGTGTCTCTATTTTTGACCAATTTGATCCCTGACAGCAGTAAAGAGACATAAACTTATTTAACTTAATTTATTTAACATTTATTTAAAGTAAACTACAAAAAACTATACATAAAAATGACCAAAACACCAAGAAAATGTGACTGTACAGACACATGTTAGTCATAAATGTGCCAAGCGCAGAACAGTTTTTCTTAATTACTCGTTTCACTATTTTATTATCACCAACCACCACAAACTGAGAGTGTCCCAGTTTCTGATTCTGAAAATCATGTCATGTCTATGTCCATGGAAAACATCAGGTCTTTAAAGGTGCACTGTGGAACTTTCCAAAGTGCAGAGATGTAGGGTCCGTCACCTGCTTCTCTCCATGGAGTTGTTGCCTCAAATGTTCCACAGTTATGGCATTACACTTATTTATCACTACAGAGACAACATGTGACACTACGAGGCCAAGTTACATGTCAGATCTGTGGTGAGGCGAGCCCACTCACAGTAAGAAGGCAAGTTTTTAGATCAATCAAACCCCATGTTATTGAGTAAATACAAGATGGATATGTTCAATGGCATATCAGGATATTCCAGACAAAACAATAACATCTCCATGGAGACAAGCAGGTGGCGGACCCTCCATCAAAAAGTTACACAGTGCACCTTTAAAGTAGTAGTGGCACTTAAAGTAGTAGCAGTAGCAGTAGTAATATTGCTTTTAGTGAGAACATTTGAAGTTATGGCATTAAGAGTAACAAAAGTGTATGTAGTTTGAAGTATTCCAACTAGAATGTTCCACAGCGCTGCATTAGACTTCTCTATCTCCATGGTGACAAGCAGTAGGCCAAGTTACAGGTCACATCTCTGGAGCAGGGATCCTGCGCACAGCCTGTTTTTCAAGGTGCTTATATGAGCAATTAAAACACCCATCTTGAAATAAATGCTTGATAGATAAGTTTAATGCCATACTCTGGAACATTCCAGGGAAAGCACACTCATACAAGAAAGGTTACACAGTGCACTGTTAAGGTTTATAGAACATTCATTAGAAAATTACTTAAGTTATCAAATGCATTTCACAACTGATGAGGCTTTTGGGTCTTAGGTTTACCAAAGTGGATGATGTGTTTAGCCCAAGGACACAACGGCAGTATGCACTCAGTGGAAGTGAATATGTTGAATTATGGTTTTGTGGGCCTATGTTTTATCACTGAGCTTTTGTCCCAGCCACAGACTATATATATGAGTGGACATAGGAAATATGTAGGAAGATCTTCAGAAGGCTCCTCTGGCTCCTTCTGACTCTTGCTCCAGTGGACTTACATTAGGATCTTGTGGCTCCTCTCTCTGTACCTGCAGCAGTGAGCCTCGTCATTTTGGTCTTAAAATGTTCATATTAACCCACGACACATGATCCTGAATGTTTTTTTCGCTATTTTGTCCGTCAAAAGACTGTAACCGTGAACATCCCAAGCCTCAGTTGAGCGACGCTGAACTCTGTGGGTGACACACTCGCTTCGTCCACTTCTTTTAAACTGTCTATGGTCCCAGCATTTCAGACAATCTTTAGCTTTCACGTATTCCAATTAGAATCATCAAAAAGAATTGAAAATCAGATACTAGGGATGTAACGATATCCAAATCTCACTGTACGATATTATCACGATATGCTTCTCACGGTACGATATTTACTGCAATATTTTGAAGAGGATGATATAATTGTAGATAGGACACTGTTTTTGCTTTTAAAATACCTTGACAAGATTTTGGTGTGCATTATTTCCATCATAATCCCAAGAATTCAAGTAAAAAACATATTTATTCATGTTGTGTGCACTGAAATGAATCATGGGATATGTAGTTTCTGATGTTCATAAGTTGTTACTGCTATAAAACCTGCATTTAAGCAAAGGAACTTGTGTTTCGAAATATTGTGACCAATCCACGATATTATTGTGTGACTTTTGACGATACGATATCACGATATTTAGGTTATTGTCACATCCTTATCAGATACTAATCAATACTTAAACTAGTATCGAACCTAGATACTCACTTGAGCTGCTATTGATACTAAAACGTCCCATTGACAGAACAGAGGAAGCTTTAGAATGATCTTGAGCTGTATCAGAACAGGTATTACTTCTTTTAAAACAAAATGATATCCAAGAATTAGGTCAAATCCAGGTCTGAACATGCCTTAACCTGAAATCTGACGCAAGAGTCGAGAATTGAGCTTCATGTCATTTCAATAGAACTCTAGTGTTGGCAACAGGGCCCTGATACCTGCTTTAGGACCAGAGCCAAACAAGGTCTGAACCAGTCTCAGTCTCAGATCTGATGATAGAGTTCTGTGGAGCTTCACGTCATTTCCAGAGAACTCCAGTGTTGGGAACAGGCTCCTGATACCTGCTTTAGGACCAGAGCCAAACTGTGGGTATTATTAGGCTCAGGCATGTTAAGTGACACAGGCCTGTTCTAAAAGGTCACAATCTTATAGAGTAAAAGTACACAGAACTGTGGGTGGTTCTATAGAATGTGATCATGTCATACTGGAGGCAAGAGGCAGATTTTCTCAAATGACTCCATGTAATTTTAGAAGTTCTATAGACTCTTGTGAGCTTTAATCCATGTTTGAATGTTGTTATCTCCTCCAAAATAGAGCTGGAATTGTGCTTTATTTCATTCACACATGTTTAAGTAATCTTTTATTATTAGTCTGTCTACATCTCCAAAGCTCAAAATGCTCTATTCCACCTTGTGATGTCATGAAAAGGTAATTTTCAAGTTAAAGATTGTATAGAGGATTTTCCAAGGAACGAGAAATCCAGCGACTGTTTGTCCTTTTTCAAATGTTGCGCATGCGTAGCTGGCCCCACCACGTCCAGAGTTGATGAATTTTTATTCTCTTTTTTTTTTAGTCATCATAATTACAAGGCTACTGCACCTCTATAATGCTATCATTGACAATTTGAAACAAAAAAAATCCTCCATACAACCTTTAATCTCTCCCTTTACCTTTAGTTCAGAGACAATTCCAGGGCTGAAATTACTCAAATTCTAGTAAAGGCTTAATAACACAGTGGAGCACTTTCTGTTTTACGATATGACATCACCAGGTGGGAGAGCAAGTTTTCTGTTTGAGAGAAGAGCTCCCAAAAGATTTAACATCATTTCAAAAGCAATTATCTTGAAAATGACTCAGTGTCGCTCAGTGACGATGTTGATGTTGGTACCAGATGCTTTAGTCCTACAGAAGCAACTGAACTCTTTACATTTTTGTTACCAACTACTACTGCAACTACTACTACTACTACTGCAACTACTGCTGATGCAACTACTACTACTGCAACTACTGCTAATGCAACTACTACTACTGCAACTACTACTGCAACTACTACTACTGCAACTACTACAACTACTACTACTGCAACTACTGCTGATGCAACTACTACTACTGCAACTACTGCTGATGCAACTACTACTACTGCAACTACTGCTAATGCAACTACTACTAATATTACTACTCCTATGATAACTACTACTACTGCAACTACTACTACTGCAACTACTGCTGCAACTACTACTAATGTTACTACTACTACTACTGCAACTACTACTACTGCTACTAGTACTGCAACTACTGCTAATG